TCGGTTTTCTGGGGTGGGCAGAGGCTACCAACTGGATCCTGGAGAAGTATCAAGCAGAGGCTTGGTGCGCTCTGCTCTGATGTCACAGCATCCTTAAGGGAATGGGTAGCGGCAGCCGTAGCTTCGCCCGCTACCCACTGACCCAACCATACCAGGTCTCTTGGCTCAGCTCCAGGTAGAATCGGAGGAGCCAACTCTTCCACCTGTAAGGTGCCTGTGGCGACCAGGGTCCTGTCCACGGCACTCTCTTGGGCTGGGCAGAGGCTACCTGCCCTCTGACCAGAGATCCTTGCCTCTGCACTCATCGGTTCCTGAGGTGGGCAGAGGTTACCTGCCCTCTGCCCAGAGGCCCATGCATCTGTTCCTGTGGTATCAGGGGTGGGCAGAGGCTGGCTGCACTCTGCCTGGATGTCCATGCTTCCACACCAACTGGCTTCTGGGGAAGGGGCGAGCAGAGGATGGGTGTGCTCTGCTTGGATGCTGGAGCATCCTTAAGGGAAGGGGTAGCAGCGGCTGTGGCTTCGCCCGCTACCCACTGACTGGACCAAACCAGGTCTCTGGGCTCACCTCAAGGAAGAGTCGGAGGAGCCAATTCTTCCACTTGTGGGGGTTTAGATTTTTCATGAGCTGTAAGCCATAATCATCGCACTTATGACAAATTATGGCTTGAATTATCTTGCTTTGCATGTAATGCAACTATCTCATATATTAGTTGCCCCTTTTACGTTGCATTACTGAAATAAATGAACTTTTGCACGATATTCTAATTTTTCAAGTATCACCTGTATATAGACACTGAAAACTGCCATAACAAAATATGGCTGGAAAGCATGCCTAAAATGATGAGGGTAAGACAAAACTGTTCAGAGACACCCATTTTTAAAATACAGGCCGATATTTAAAAAAAGATTTATACAAAAAGGTTATGAAGACAAGGGGATAGAGTCCACTATTATCCAAACATTATCGCTAAATAGAAAAGAACGCATACATATGAAAAAACTCAAAGAAATCAGAACTTCTCTCTACCCATTGTGCATTGGCACTCACTAAAAGAAGATGAAATATTAAAAAAGATAGTTCCAGAGAGACCAAAAAATGTTTTTCAGATGTGCACCCAAGTTAAAAAGGCACCTTACAAAGAATTATACAAAAACAAGTATGCATAAGATAAACAACTTTATGATTGAGGACAAATTACTTGTAAAAGTAAACATTTTATTTATTTATTGAAATGCACATGTGGTCTCCAATATATAGGACGTACCATTAAGCCACTCAAAACATGAATTGCAGAGCATTATAGAAATATTGACAAAGGATTTAAAAAACACTCTGTATCATCCCATTTCTGTATGCTCAAGAATAATCCTAAACACCTCACTTTCACGGTTATAAAAATTGTACATAAGAGGAGGAGATCTTATCAAAAAGATAGGAAAGACAGAAATGAAGTGGGTCTACAATATGGACATTCTACACCTTCTTACATTTTATATATAAAAAAAAATAATGTATATTTTATTTATTTTATTTTTATTTAAATTTTCCGTCCATGCGAAAAACAGCAGAGCTCTGAAGTAGCTCATAAGAAAGTGAGTGGTAGTCACATAGTGACACATATTTATCCACCACATATACGCTACACCTACTGTATTGCACTATTATTTTGTTATCTTTGGGTTTTTTTTTAGGTCCATTGTATTTAACATCTGGATACTTGCATACCTATGTACGTATAACCATTTGTACATATATCTTGGGAGCGGTTTACTCTGTCTTTTTGCATTGTATGTATCATCAAGGTCTGGAAATCTTTGTACTGTTTACTGCTGCCTGCTCTGCATCCTCTGCTAAATATTATAGTGAGCGCCTATTACTTTTTCTGTTTGCTTCTCCCCCTGGACTTCACGCTGCTGCTGGGCCATTACGAATAGAAGCCTGTAGTTCCATTCAAGCTCCCACTCCAGAGTAGCCAAAAAATTCAGGTCTGGTTGCAGTTCCGCTATCCCGGTGTTGCCTAAGCTGCTTTCTCGTTGCTCTCGGGTATCCCAGAAGTGTGAACTGTCGATATCTCAGAATTCTACACTCTCAAAGGACCCCCACAGTAGTTGTAGTCCTCTACCTTAATACTCTTAGGCACGACCAGCCGCGGTTAGAGATAGGAGGCATCCAACCGCATTTCAGTCTTGATCAGCTTCTCCATTTCTATCACCCATTCCTCTAATGGCCAGTCTCCCAGGTATGGCAGCCGCAGCTCCCACTTTTGCTGGTCGGAGTTCCTGGCACCAGAAGGGTTGGATTTCGTTGAAGTCTTCCTTCCAGAGATCGGCTCAGAGGATCACCCTCCATTCTGGTATGCCCCCTTCCAGAATGGGTCATCACTATAGCGCAGGACATCCTGTAGCCTCTGCTGGGGCCTCTCGTCGAAGTAGAATATTACCTGTAGGTGGGTGTCCCAGATGACAAGGAGCTAATTTCCCCATAGCTAGGAAGTGCCACCACTTGTAGTTGAGCTCCCTGTACCCCGACTGGGTACCTCCGCCAAAGGGGTTGCTTCCTAGCTGTACCAGGGGAAACGGATAGGAAACTTTCCTGTTTCATCCTCTGCAAGCTTGAAAAGCAAACACAAGTGTTACATATTCCTTCCTCACAGTAATTAGACAACACACAGTTCTGGAGGTTAAAACACTGACTGACAATCTTTATTTGAAACACACAGCTTTTATGCACAGACACCCACAGAAGGTCTCCACTCAGTACAACACAATCCCAGGCAGGAGGGGGCTGGGTTATAGACAGACATCTCCTGCTCCTGGAGACACCAACATTACACAGAGACACACATTAAAACACAAACTCCTCAAAAGTATGTTTCCAATTTCAAAAGCAGTTAATTGGATTGCATGGAATGTCCAAGCTTACAACCCCACTTACTCCAGCAGAGCTATTCTGTAGGGTGTGGGAAGTCACACTAACTTGTCCTGGAAGTCTTTTGATATGGTAATGATCAAGCCTTTGTCGGGATCCCGCGGGCGGCTGCAAGGGGAGGCTGCACCCCGCTCGCGGTACTCACCCTCCAGCCGTCCGGAGTCTCCTCCGCCTCGTGGGCTCGGAGAGCGGCATCCTTCCAGCCTCGGATGCCGCCCGCGTTTTCCTCCTCGTCCCCCAGCGGCAGCATGCATGACGCTGCACGCTGGGAGACCGCCCAATATATTACATGCCGGGGTCAGTCACCTGACCCAGCGTTAAAGGCACAGTGCCTCAATCACAATGAGAGGTTTAGATATCTCCCACGTGTGATTGTTAATTCTGATTGGAAATTATCCAATCAGAATTAACCTTATGGTTTAAATACTTACCTTTCCTGTTCCTCTCTGCCCTGTTGTGGTCTTTACTTGCTAGTATTGCTACTGAACTTGTGTTTCTGGTTACGTACTCTCTGGCTTGTTTATCTGACTCTGTGACTTTCTCCTACCCTTTAACCTCGGCTTGTTTCACGTTAATCTGTCTTCTGGTTCCCCTTACTTGGCTTGTCTCCTGACTATTCTGTGTGTGCTTAGCCCGGCCACTCTAAGGTCCGGTACTGCACCTTTTCTGTGCGTGTGTGTGTGTTAGCGTGTTGGGTTCCCGGAATCGTGACAGCCTTCTAAAAACAGGAAGCCCTTGATTCAATACCCAATCCAAAAGAGACATTTGCTTAACCCAATTATCCCCCAGGCACTAGAGTTGCAGATCATAAAACATAAACTATTAAATATACATATAAAACATATAGTAACCCTAAAAATAAACCAGGGAAATCACACGAAATGCATAACCAATACATGGGGAAACACAGAATGCAAGGGGAAAACACACAATACAATGGAAAAACACACAAATAAGCAGTGGTCATGATACGTAGTGACAGTAGTTTGTCACATCCCTATAATGGAAGTCAGATTTATCCTTGGATCAAGAAGCATAGCTAAAATGTTCCATTCTTTTTATTAATTTTTGTAGCCCGCCTCTGCACTTTGTCTAGTGCCATCTTATCCTTCTTTAGAACATGTGCCCAAAATTGCACAGCATATTCAAGATGTGGTCTTACCAGTGATTTATAAAGAGGCAAAATTATATTCTCATCCCAAAAATTAATGCCCTTTTTCATGCATGACAATACCTTACTGGCCTTAGCCTCTGCTGATTGGCATTGCACATTGTTGCATAGATTTTTTTGTGTTGTTATCCCTAATTCACTTCCATTAAGGGTATAAGTGGCTTGTGCATTCTTTACGCCGAGTGCCCAGTCCCCCAATCCCTCTGCAGCAAGGTAATATCTTTCTCACATTGTATTACTTTACAGAGTTTTGTGTCATCTGCAAACACTGAAACATGACTTTCAATGCTTTTTTTCAAGATCATTTATAAACATGTTAAATACAAGGGGTCCCAGAACAGAACCCTGAGGGGCACCACTTGCCACCTCAGTCCAGCTTGAAAATTTACCATTAATGACAACTCTCTCTACTCTATTTTTGAGCCAATGTTCTACCCAAGAACAAGAATTTTCACCTAGACCGATTTCTTTGAATTTGAACATTAATCTATTGTGTGAATCTGTATCAAACGCCTTGGCAAAATCCAAATAGATCACATCCACTGCAACACTGATCTATACTTCTATTTACTTTTTTGTAGAATGCAATCAAGTTAGTTTGACGTGACCTGTGCTTCATAAAACCATGCTGATTTGGGGGCGGGGCCGGACCGCTGAGCTGGACGGTCACAAGAATGATCAGCTCCTGCAAATCCCTAAACTTTAAGCCTCTAAACCTATGAATTTCAGCCTAAAAGCTGACCGACAGCACTCACCCTTAGCCCAAAGGAGGCATTGGATGCAGGGAGAGGCTGGATCCTCGTGCTTCAGTCCCCTGGAGGAGGAATCTTCGAAGCCCCAGATGAGGCCTACTCCGGTGGTGAGTGGGGCGGATGGCCCTGGGACTCTGACCGCTGCAATGCAATCAAGGCCCAGTAACGAGACCACCCTGATTGGCGAGCTCGGCACCAAAATGGTGGATGCCATGAGCGCCGAGGATGGAGAAAAGGAATACTCTTCCCTCAAGCTCATGCCTGACAGCACAGATCTTCAGTACCAACTGGCGAAGCGAAGAGGGCACAATGAGCCAGCACTCACCCCACGGAAAAGGCAAGCAACACTCTAAGAAACCCTACCTTTTAGCCGAGAAGGGGAACTGGTCTCCACCAAAACGAGCCACACACCTCTGCCGCAAAGCCAGACAACCTTTTCCATCCTTCCATGAAAGAGCCGCAATGTGCGCCTGACAGCCGGCGTGCAGCAGTGGCTTGAGAGGAGCACGGAGGACATGGGCTGAGTAGAGACTCACGTGGATATTCTGTGTCCCGCCGAACTAAACCCGCATACTATGGGGACTACACAGGCAAGATCCAGCACCCATGACGAACTGACCTCACCGAACTAGAGCATAGCCGCAAGGGCCCCCGAAGTGACCATTTAATCTCCCACTGCAAAGCAGCAGCTCTGATCCTAAATTTTATACTCTCTTAGCCACTTGACAGGATGGAACTGTGGCCTGATGCTATTAGTATTAAAACATAGTGTGGCTGCAAAAGTTAGACACCTGCAAAATGTTGTGCCCTCAGTCTCCCAGTGGTAATAACAGCCTGTCCTTTTCTAAGGTTTCACTAGTCTATAATAATAGCTTGTAACAATGCAAGTTCCTAGCAAGCCATGTCTTAGACCTTATCTTAGTGATGTTAAACGCTTGGCCGTCTTGACATGATATAAAAAGCATGTTTGTTTACGATTGCGCTGCAACCAATTCTTGCTTTACTTTTTAAACCAAAAAATGTGTGCAATTACTCATGACATACTGTGTTTACACCTGAAGCCTGTAACCGATAATGCATAATGCAACTTAAATCTATGTCAATGGTACGCAATGTTTGTTTCCACTGCACTCCAAAAATAAAGAATATAAAATGTTTTTGCTGATAACCACATTCTTCTCAAGGAATTCTTGAATATTATCCTTTAACAACATTTCAAATACTTTCCCAGCCACAGAAGTTAAGCTCACAGGTCTATAATTTCCAGGCAATGATTTTGAACCCTTTTTGAATATAGGAAGCACATCTGCCTTCCTCTAATCCTCCAGAACACTTTCTGAAAGAAAAGAATCTTGAAAGGTTAAAAACAGAGGTTCACTTATTTCAATACTTAGTTCCTTAAAGGACCACTATAGTGCCAGGAAAACATACTCGTTTTCCTGGCACTATAGTGCCCTAAGGGTGCCCCCACCCTCAAGGTCCCACTCCCGCCGGGCTCTGAGGAGAGGAAGGGGTAAACTTACCTCTTTCTCCAGCGTCGAGCGGGGAGCTCTCCTCCTCCTCTCCGCCTCCGATCCTCCTCTTCGGCTGAGGCTTTAGAGGCTTTAGAGGCTGATTAACCCATTTATAAACATAGCATTTTCTCTGAAACTGCTATGTTTATAAAAAAAAAAGGGTTAATCCTAGAGGGACCTAGCACCCAGACCACTTCATTAAGCTGAAGTGGTCTGAGTGCCTAGAGTGGTCCTTTAAGTACTTGTGCATGAATAGCGTCAGACCCTGGAGCTTTGTTTATATTAACTTTATTTAGTTGCTGTAGCACCTTGTCTTGAGTTAGCCAATTTCAATTTCTCTGCAAGTTTTTTGCAGCAATCATTTGCATATCTATTGCCCCCCAAAACAAGGACAGAAGGTGCCTGTCGCAAGGGTGTTAAAAAATGATAAGCTTAGAGTCATGTCTACAAATGCTTGCAGTTTAGGGAATAAGATCCATGAACATGTGGCAATAATGGTAACTGATAATGTAGATTTAGTCGCTCTTACTGAGACATGGTATAATGAGAAAAATGACTGAGACATGGTATAATGAGAAAAATGACTGGGACATAGCAATACCTGGGTACTCTTTATAAAGAAAAGACAGGGAAGGCAAGAAAGGGGGAGGGGTAGCCCTGTATGTGAAAGATAGCCCAATAAAAGTTGGTGAGGTGAACATAGAGTCCGTTTAGGTTACGTTAGAATTTGGTAATCAAACAGTAACTCGTGAAGGTGTGATTTATAGGCCCCCAGGACAAATAGAAGAGTTAGATAATCTACAAGTTGAGGAAATAGCTAAAATGACAATGAAGGGGGAAGTTATTATATGGGTGACTTTAATCTTCCTGATGTGAATTGGAAAACAAAAATAGCTGTATGTGCCAGCAGCACACATATTCTAGACTCCCTACTGGGATTGTCTCTAAAACAAGTCATTGTTGAGCCAACTCGTAAAGAGGCAAGACTAGATTTAGTGTTAACAAATGGAAATTTGGTATCAGGTTATACTGTAGGGGAAAGTTTAGGATCCAGTGATCATCAGTCAGTCTGATTTAATATAAGAACAGTGACTGAGTCACTCCACACAAAAACTAAAGTTTTAAAAAACATACTTTACAAAAATTGGAATATGTGTAAAGGAGTCATTATCAGGCTGGAGCAATTTAAATGGAGTCCAAGAGAAATGGGATTATTTAAAAGTTACACTGCTGAAGGCAACAGAAAATTGCATTAGGCTTGTCTGTAAAAGCAAAAAAATCAAGAAACCACTGTGGTACTCCACAGATGTAGACAAAATAGTAATTAACTAAAAGTTAGCAGTTAGTAATTATAAAAAAAAACTCAGAGTGAGGAAGAAAGAATCATCTATAAGATTAGGCAGAAAGAGACTAAGCAAGTTATAAGAGCTTCCAAATCACACACAGAAGAGAAAATAGCACAGTCAGTAAAAAAAGGGGACAAAACTATTTTTAGATACATAAATGAGAAAAGGAAAGTAAAACAAGGATTAGTTAGATTAAAAACAAAAGAAGGAATGTATGTAGAAGAGGATAAAGGTCTAGATGACTGTCTCAATTAATATTTTTATTCAGTATTTACAGATGAAAATTAGGGAAAGGGACCTCAGTTAGGAAAAAGGACAAATGAGTCATTTATTATATGTGAGTTTACAGAGGAAGAGGTTATATTTCAACTGTCAAACGTAAAGACAAATAAGTCAATTGGACCTGATGGAATACACCCAAAGTTATTAAAAGAGCTTAGTGGTGCACTAGCAAAACAATTAACGGATTTATTTAACCAATCACTGTTAACAGGAGTAGTCCCAGAAGATTGGAAGTTAGCGAATGTTGTGCCCATTCACAAGAAAGGTAGTAGGAAGGAGTCGGGCAACTATAGGCCAGTAAGCCTTACTTCAGTAGTGGGGAAAGTAATGGAAACCATGTTAATGGATAGGATTGTTGAACATCTAAAAACACATGGATTTCAAGATCAGAGACAACATGGGTTTACTTCAGGGAGATAATGCCAAACTGATCTTATTGATTTTTTGATTGGGTAACTAAAACAATAGATCAGGGTGGGGCAGTAGACATTGCTTACCTAGATTTCAGTAAAGGCTTTTGACACTGTTGCACATAGAAGGCTTATCAATAAACTGCAATCAATGTACAGAACACTGGTGAGACCTCACTTGGAGTAATGTACGCAGTACTGGAGACCGTATCTTCAGAAGCATATTGATACTTCAGAGAGAGTTCAGAGAAGGGCTACTAAACTGGTTCATGGATTGCAGTATAAAACTTACCAGGAAAGGTTAAAGGATCTTAACATGTATAGCTTGGAGGAAAGACAAGATGGGGGGGATATGATAGAAACATTTAAATACATAAAGGGAATCAATACAGTAAATGAGGAGACCATATTTAAAAGAAGAAAAACTACCGCAACAAGAGGACATAGTCTTAAATTAGAGGGGCAAAGGTTTAAAAATAATATCATAAAGTATTACTTTACTGAGAGGGTAGTAGATGCATGGAGTAGCCTTCCAGCTGAAGTGGTAGAGTTTAACACAGTAAAGGAGTTTAAGCATACGTGGGATTGGCATAGGCTATCCTAACTCTAAGATAAGGCTAGGGACTAATTAAAGTATTTAGAAAATTGGGCAGACTAGAAGGGCCGAATGGTTCTTATCTGCTGTCACATTCTATAGATTCTTCCTTTAATATATAAGGAGGAGAAATAGTTATTCTGCAATTGTTTTTTGATTGTTTTGTCAATTTACAAAGGAGGAGGAGAGGAATGTCACCGCCCAATAAAGAGAAAGGGGGCAAAACCCAGTTTGAACAGGCACTTCTCCCCTCATTGGTCACCTGTGCCCCGCAGCGACCAATCAGCACTCACTCGTGCTGACCAAGCAGGAGAATGGCGCAAACCCAGTTTGAATGGGCGCTCCTCCCATTGGTCAGCACAGGCTTCCAGACAGCCAGTGGGGAATCTGTGGCTGTGATACCGACTCACAGCTCCAGGATTTCCCTGCTGGCTTGAGCCTCTCTCTTTACGGTGGTTACCTCCACGCAGGTACCACCGAAGAGAGCACTTGCCTTGTAGCTACCGAGAGGGGAATGCAATGATTATAGCTCCATTAGGAGCAGGTAGGGCGATACCCAACACAGGGACCTGAGACAGTGTGCGTATGCCGGTTCGGGATACGAATGCTGCCCTGCTTGGCGTTCGGTTATACGGACATGCAGCCATAAAGGGGAAGTACACGCCGCATGTATCCCTTTCGGTTTGCGGTTTTCACAACTCGTTAAGATTCTAAATGAGGTGTCGGGGTGGTCCCCATTCGGGAGCCAAACAGAACCTATTCGTATGAGCTCTCCCGAACGGGGAGCAGGTAAGACACACAAATACAACACAATTACATTTAGATGCATGGGGAAACAGAGTACAAGGGAAAATTGTGAGAATAAACATTGGGAACACAAAATACAAGGCCAAAACACATGGGGCATGGCACTTAGTGGCAGTGGCCCGTTACAGAAAACTTTCTTGAAAGCTCTATCTTGAAGCTAAGTCTTCCAGATAACGTTTCTTACACTCTTAACTATTTTCACTGGACTGAGCCATTAACCAAAGACAAAAATCCAAACAAAAAGGTGTGGCAATTATTTTGTTTCTAATTTCTATTTTAGGTAAAATATCTGAAAAACAGTTTAAGAGAATTTCTAAAATCAAATTTTAGTCTTTGTGGTTTGGAATATGTATCTGTAGCACATATTTTAAACCACCACTTTCCCAGTAATGATAGAAT